AACAGCACATTTATTTATTCACAATTAATATTCTGAATTCACCCACTTTTTATACTCTAATGTTCATACACAGATTTTGCAATTATTAAAAGTCCCCTTTCCTTGCTGGAAACTATATGCTAAGAGAAAGTCTGTAAGGGAAAAAAAATGTATATCTTTATCAAATTGTTCAGTCATGTGACTGACATTTATACCTGCAGTTGTAGATGACACTTGTTGTCAAATTCCAGCCTGGTTACACCTTTTATATTGCTTTTTTTATTCCTTTCATCCCGCCACCCTCTGCTCTGAAACATTTTCAGTCCTCCTCGGGCCCCACGCTGGCATCCTAAATGAATATTCTGTTGAACAGGGCAGAGTATCGACTGAAACTGTCCTTTCATCTAGACGCCACTGGTCAGCAGCTGCTTTAACTCGAACCAACAAGAATTGGCACATGAGGCAGTGAGCAAAAAGGCACAATCAAAATGCACCGGACCGTCACTCCCCTTCTAAAAAGCTACTGAGTATCAGTGCTTCAATACACCTGGTGGAACTGTACAACTGCCTTTGTTTATTAGGAAACTAAGGCCTTTAATCAAGAAGACATTTTAAACAAGAATAAGCTTAAATTGAGTATGCACTACATTTACAAATCACTTCACAATGCTCCTAGTGAATGCTAAATCTGGTTTAACTACATAGAAAATAAAAGGCTTCTATGTGGCAGCATTTAATAGTGCAGTCAAACAAGGTGTTTTACTTACTGTATACGGTTCAAACAGCCTCTTTTCGAAACAAAGGCCTGAATCTGGAGCCTTGCGCAAGTGCAGAGGCATTAGTTAAAAGCAAGACATGAAGAGGTTTGAGTGGAAATCATGTTGACTTCATAATCTAGCACATTACTTGATAATTGCACAAAGAATTTTACCTCACACTCCTACAGTGAATGAAATAATATTGCCTGTTAAACTGACCTCAAACTTTAAGTTAAAATGAAATTACAGTAAATGACAGGGATATCAAGTTGACCTACACTATGATTAGCATTAAGGACATTTCCCCCCCCACTGCGATATTGAATGCAGAAAGTTATTGCTGCAGCATTTGTTCAAGTCACTTACTTTTCACGTGCGCCTATCTAGACCTGCTTCAAATTTCTTATTGCATATTATAATGGAATGGAGGTACTCTTGTGTGTTTTTCTTCTTTTAAACTGTCAAACTGTCTTTGACTCGCATTTTTGTTTTTTTTGTGACAATTTTCTTGCATGTCTTACAAAATGTACCTTTTTGAAAGCCTGCTTTCTCAGAGCCAAACCACTGAGGCACTGAATTATCTGAAGATATTTAAAACATCCAAACACAATTCACAATGTCTTACCAATGAAATACAGAGCACTCAAGAAAACACCCAGTGATTAAAAATCACTTGGGCCAATGTTAGGTTTTTGATCCAA